TTTAAGAAAATAATATTTAATAATTATTAATAATGATTACTACTTTTATGTAATTCTTCCAAAACAGACATTTATAGACACTTACAGAAAACTTCCTTCACAAACTGTTGTGAAAAGTTGCTTTTTATTCAGCTCTGCTTACAATGTATATGCATACTTCCAGAAATGCACAGAAAGAAAGCACTTTATCATTTGTTAGGAGGTGAATGATTTGGGAATCCTTATGCAACTCTTTCCTCCTGAATCAGAGCACAGTACACCAGATTCGAAAGGAATGATTTACGTCAGACCGAAATAAAAGTAAGATATGGTAATTTCTAAGTCTGTTTTAAATGAAATATAACAACTTTAAGGTATTTAAAAGTATTTTTGTGTATCTTTTAACATGCAAATGTTAATAGCAACTTTAATGCACAGATACCATTAGTGTAATACTGTAAATAATCTCTGAATCATCACAGTCTTGTATTGTCTTTTCATGTTTTGATATGTTCTAATATTACTTGTAGTCTAATTCCTATGTTGCCATTCTGAAGCAAAAATTCCAGGTATTTGTACAGTGCCATGAAGAACTACTGAGGCTGCTAGAGATCTAGCAAAGGAAGCCAGAGATAAACAGCAAATAGAGAGACATATGTTGGAGAGATCAGTTGTTATCGAATGGCCTCACCAGCCAAATTCATATTCTATATACTGTCTTTTGCTGTACTGTACTTAACTGATCTGCTGCCAGAGCAGATGGGTGCATTAAAAGAATTATCTGGCTGAATGAAGGGTTGAAATATGCTTTCAAACAGTAGGTGCTTTTCCTGGAAGTTACAAGTGTTTTAACAGGTGTAAATGTGTGAATCATTTACCTTGTCCAAGTCGCCCATGTTATTCTGTCAATCACAGCCTGGTCCACAAGCTGTTTTCCTGAAGGCACTTCATAGACTTGCCTTTTGTAAGACCCAGTAGAGACCTTTGAGTTGACCACAGACAATTTAGAATACATAAAATTGTTTGAAAAGATGAAAACATAAATCTAAAGGGCTTTAAAAAGCATTTTCTTGATAGTTATCTTTTACTTTGTGACTTAGCTACTAATAAACTTGCTCAATGAACTGAAAATTCTCAAAAATCTATACAAGCCTAAAGCAACAATGAGAAAGCGTAAGATATCTTGAATTTTAAAGTACCTAATTGATAAAAAAATAATTGAAACATCTCACATTCTGCATATTAATTATATATAGAGAGAGAGAGATAGTGTGTGCATTAGTATGTGTGTGTGTGTAAATAAATAAGGCAAAATAAACTCCTATCTTTAAAACTGACATAAAGGTATTCCTCTTAGCCTGTAAATGTTGATTTGATAAAGAAGCTTATTCCTCCTCCTAGATGCGAACAAAATATAGAAAGCAAAGCATGTCTATTTTATTTTGTTTTTAAGAAATGTCTTAAGCCCTGCAGCTGGGAGTTGTAACACCATGATTCTGGTGCTGCCCCAGCAAGGCTAGCACCAAAACGGTGTGTAATGCTACCGTTTTGGTCAGGGATATGAAGAATTCCCATGTCCCTGGGGCTTACAGAACAATAGACTACTTTTTTAAGACAGCCCATCAGCCTCACAGGGGTAGAAAGCCTGTGAGGCACATTACAGTAATTTTGAAATCTGTTTCTCATTTCTGTGCCTATTTCTTGCAGTTAATATCTAGGATAACTATTTTCATCATCCACTGAGCACTACAACAAACAGCCTAGTGATAGTAACCTACTGAACATTTCATTCCAAAATCTAGCAGTTGTCAAAGGAAAATACTTGCAGAATATCTGTCATGAGTATGTTTTACATTCAGTAAATGGAATAATTAATGACTGATACCTGGAGATAGGAGCTGTCTGCAGAGAAGTCCATTTGGATCACAAAACTTGGGATATCTTTGCAATAGCTGACCCGATTCAGTGTGGGACCCAAGGTCAGATCATAAAAATCCACTGCATTCTCACTGGAACCAACTGCTAAGTAACGAGAATCTGGGCTAAACCTGAAGAGAGAAAAGGGTTTTATGAACATACATTGGCACTTACAACAGATTCTAATAGTTGAGATGCGTGGATTAATTTGCATTTCAAATATCTGCTGTCCAGAATTAAAGGCAGAGTATTTTGTCTGCTAAGCAAAATAGCTTCTGAAATAAATTTTTTCAGGGAACATACATGCAGTAGAATGTAGCAATAATTTTGGTACAATTGTCACATATACGCGAAATGGGAACACTTCCGAATAACTGTTCATTATCAGATCTCATTACCATTTCCATGGTCTAACAACTTTGTGACATGCCCTGATATCTGACTCCTTAATGCTATACTTAGAAAAATGAAATGCTGTCAATGAAGAAAAGCCAGACCTTCCAGATGAAATGTACTGAAAAACAGGTGTAAAATCAAACCTTCCATCTGTCCAATGTATTTTTGCACAGTGGTTTCCTCCTTCCACTTTTTCTTTCTAGTCTTGAAACTCTGCAGCTTCCCGAGCTGAACAAATTCCTCACAGCCCCTTTTGCGTTACTAAGGAAATTTGCTTACTATCATTATCTCTGAGACATATACACTGGGACAGGTTTCTGATTCCAGCAACCCTCTAACTCCTAGCAGGGCTTTCCTGCCTCCCTGCAGCAAGGTCCTTGTTTGCTCGTATTTCTCCCACGCACCCCTCTTTGCTCTCCAGAAGCTTCCCTTAGCTGATCACAATCAATTTATCTCACAGAAGCAACAGTCTTGTTCTCCTCTCAGGAAATGGAAGCAAAATTTTACTTCTGCTAACTCCTTTCTAACAAAACACACCAAAGAGCAAACTGATAGGCATTTCCAACGTCTCTCACAATCCAGTCTTCATCTGTAAACTTCTGATCTCATTTTACCTCCTACATATCAACTCACCCGGCTCCTTTTCACACCTTCTCATCTGCCCCCTAATTAGGACTGTCTCTTCCTATTGTCCATTTACTTTCCCTTTCCCTCTTCATTTTAACTAATTCTTGACAATATCATCTGAACCCCCTATGGTACTGCCCAGTTTTTGAGTGATTGTATTCTCATGTCTTCATGTACCTCCTCCTTCCTTTTTATTCCTGGTATCGGAGTAATTACACAAACTCCACAATTCACTTAGTGATTTCAGGACTCTGAAATATCATTGTAATGCTCCTCAGAACACAAACTTGTATTTTTAAAAATCAAAATATTACAGATTTCTAGAACACTACAATAGAAAAAAACCTTATTATATTTTCTGACCTTATATCTTGAATTGCTGATCTTCTGTCCCTTTTCTTCCCCCATATTTTTAGAGAGGTTACAAGCAAGATGATAAATTCTCCATTTTTCATGCCAATAGCTACCATATCACCTTCTGGGCTGTAACAAACAGTACGAGCTGCATGTCCTAAGCTGACTTTGTTCAGCATCTTCTGTGAAGAAATAAAACCACACAAGAGTAAATATTTTTATTTGTTCATACTTCGAAAGTACCTTATACCAACAGATTGGCCCTATCAGACGGATTATTCTCAAAACACATTAAGAAAACAAGTTGCAAGTCTTCAACACCACCGCAAGTCTAGGATTTTTTTTTTATTATTATTTTTTTCCTAAACAACAACTGTCCTCCAACACCTACCTTTTCACCAATATCCCAGAGTCTTACTGTGCCATCTTCTGCAGCAGAAAGGAAAAAATCTCTGGAAGGATGCGTTGCTAGGCCCCAGATTGGTCCATCCATATGACCATTAATTAGAATGTTACACGCAGCGTTTTTCTCTCCAACTTCGATTATTTCAGCATTTCTTGTCCCAACAAGAATTTTCCCCTTGAACAACAGTGAAAGAATTATCTCTGATGTAACACATTAACTACTCATGATAAACAGTAATAAAGATGTAATTCAAAGCTGTAGTTCTGACAGGAAGGTTTGCTGAGATCAAATAATTATTTAATCAAAGATAATTTTGTTCTTAAACTCATCTGTGATTTATTCAAGTACAAAGCTGTATACAAATCACGATGCCAGTTGAATTACTGCTTGTAAGTCAGATATTTGAAGTGTAAAAAGAAAACTGAAAAGAAATAGTTAGTCTTTAATAAAAATATATACAGAATATTATCCTAAGTAAGACTAAAATCTCCCAAAGTAGAATTTTTTTTTCCTGCTGTAGAATCACTTGTAGAAACCTTCTATCTTAACCTTTAATTTCAAATACTAATTATAGGAAAAAGTGGAAGCAATTTACCATATATTTAATGCTATAGAGCAATCCACAAATTCTAAGTGTCATTTTAAAGACATGAGGCTTTTTTTACCTTGCCTCTGCAAACAGAGCGAACACAGTCCGTCATTTGTCCTGTTTCTAGTCTGAAGGCACGGCATCGTTTCAGCTCTTGATCCCATAGCTTAACTGCTCCTCCTTCCTTTGAACTATGAAGAAATCAGGAACATAGCATGAGTGTAATGGCTGGCACAAAAAAAATAGATGATTAATGTATGAAAGAACTGTATTATTTAATATAAAGTTTTATAAATGAGAAATTTCAGTATGTTTTAAATCATTAAAGGCTCCATTCGTTTTTACTGAACACATGATGTTAATATGCTGAGCCTCCTAGCTCAAGAAATACTGACTCAAAGTCCCATCATCCTTCTTCATAGAGCAAGTTGAAAGATGGTCACTGCTAAGCTCAGTCTGAATTAGTATCTCTTAGGAAATTTGCCTTGTCAAAGGAACAGTAAAGTGTTCTAAATAATAAACTGCCGTATTATTAAGACAGGCAGAGATTATAAAAATGTATTTGGGGAAACAGCAAAGATACCAGATACATATTTTACTACTGTGAAATAAACAACAACAACAAAAAGAAAAAACTTTTGTGAAAATTTCACTGGTTTTGGTGCTGTGAAATAAATGACAAAGATATAGTAGAAAAAACGCTCAATGTTAATTGCACAAGATACCCACCTAATCAATATTAATCATGAAAGCTCTAAGTAATTCCCACCCACTTTCAAAGGAACTGATATTTCAGTAAGGAACACATTAAAAGAAGTTTCTAAAAAGAAGATAATGTTTAATGAAACTGTTATAAATACGGCATTTCCAGTTGAGCAGGGACATATTCTACCTGTCTTCATAGAGAAAATAATCTTCCCCAACAGAAAAGAAAATACAATGTTCCATGATATTGAGCTGCCAGTGTTGCAACTTTGATTACTGATTAAACCCTGACAAAGAACTCCAGAAAGTTCAATCACAATTACTGCTTTTGTGCTGTTTTTACTAAAAGAACTGTAAGGTATTATAAATTGTTAGTCCTTGCAATGCAATATTCTCTGCTTCCCAATAGCACTGTTTTCACCTATGATTGGTCATCATACTCAGCGAAAAGATTTCATCAAAAGAGGCTGGAGAACTGCAATTAAGAATGCCAAGGCAGAAGCAAATATGCAATTTTCCTAATTGTAGCTTTTGTTTTGTATACTTTCAATACCCCGTTTTCTCACAGGGGATGAATTATTGTTTCTTACTGTTATTCATTACTATTTCTTTCAGGTCAAACACTAATTATTAAGAGGCTCTGAAAATAAAATCATGATGGTGTTTCATAAATACTAGAAGAAAATATTTCAAGGAGAGGAATAAATTTTCAGTTGGGTGTGGGTATCAACCAGGATCCTTAAGAACTGTTTGAGGAAAAGGTAGTAAGTGGCCCAAGTCCTGCAAAATGGGGCACTATCATGCCATCAGGTGGACTGTATTTCAGCTTAAGGAGGGAAAACTGTAATACAGTCCACCTGAAAAAAAAAAAAAAAGGGCAAAAAAAAAAAGCAGCAGCATGTTGGGTTTTTTTCCCCTCTTATCATTAGCAAGGCACTAAGAAAAAATTTAAATGATTGAAGAGGTATTTTGGTTATAACCCCAGAAACAAAGGATGTTGCTGTACCTTAGATTTGAGAGAAGACAGTTTGCCTCTGCCATCATAGAATCATAGAATGGTTTGGGTTGGAAAGAACTTTAAGATCACCTAGTTCCAACTCCTCTGCCATGGGCAGGGACACCTCGCACTAAACCATGTCTCCCAGGACTCCATCCAGCCTGGCCTTGAACACTGCCAGGGATGGAGCATTCACAACTTCCTTGGGCAACCCATTCCAGTGACTTATAACTGAACAGTTTTTTCCTTTAAAATAAGTTGTGCATTACAATGTTATAATATTTATCATTCATTTATTTAATCACAATTGTGCAAATTACTTGAATTAACAACCTCAGTTCAACTTCAGAAAAAGAAGTAACCACCAAGGACTAGGTAACTTTTTAACGCTTAAAACTGTATTTCAAATTAAATGTTTCGGCCTTCTCTCAAAAGTAATACTGTTGTGATAAATACCACTGAATCATGTAGTAACATAATAACATGATTTCAAGGCTACTTTTGATTATAGTAGTTCAGCCATTTTCAGCGTAAGGAGGGAGAACTGTATCATCTCTTTGATAACTGTGTATTTGTAATAGGAGAAACATTACCTGACTGATGTAATGCAGTATAATTGATCACAGAATCATAGAATGGTTTTGATTGGAAGGGACCTTAAAGCTCATCTACTTCCAACACCCCTGCCATGGGCAGACACCTTCCATTAGACCAGGATGCTCAAAGCCCCATCCAACCTGGTCTTGATCACTTCCAGGAACAAGGCAGCGACAAGTTCTCTGACAATGCAATGTAACTGATAATCCATTCACATAATTTATTTTACACCTGCCTATTACTTTAGCCAAAGTAATGTAAAGTCATCATAAAATGCCTGAAGAAGCTTTCACATGTGCTTTAGAAAGATGACTGTTATCTAGAAAATAAAATCATGAAGAACTACTTGTACAGCACTTAGATTCTGATTCATCCCCCTTGACTTTAGGTACTTAAGGTACCAGGTCAGGATTCTAGTGACTTTAGGCTTTCTCTTTTAATCAATGGAAAAAAATAGGTAATCAAGGTCATGTAGGCTTACCTTCTCTTTGGAGGTGATGGTTACCTTTTTTTCCTACCACCTATTCAGGAATCTGAAAGCGACTACTCTTCTAGTTTTGATGTCTGAACTGCCTACTATTAGATGGGATGAGTCCAAACAATTTTTAAAGAATACATGTGCATGCAGAAAAAAACCCAGAACAAAAGATGACTCACGGCCTTTCTTTGCCTCCTGTAACGATCAAACCATCTCTTAATGTAGTATACATTGTGAAAACCGGTCCATTGTGAGCTTTGGCCACAATTCGTATCAATACATGATCTTTCCAAACACAAACATCTCCACTGATAGTACCTGTAAATGTCAAGTTATTCTGAAAAGGGGAAAAATATATTCATCATCTGATTCTGAGTAAGACAGGAAGAAAACTATTCAGAAATAAAGATCATCACCATTTGCATTTAGGCTAGATTGCTTTTATTTGCTGCTGTAGAAGAGCAAATTGTGGAAGGGGTAATAACAACCTGTAAGGAAAAAAAAATGAGCTACTATATCCTTTCTTGAAGTCTGAAACATGCTTTCTTGTAGCTAATAGGCTCTGCAATACAGGAAGAAAAGCAGCCACAGGGCTATCTGTGTTTTCAGCCTATAAAGTGTGCAAACTGTTGTAAAAAACATAGAAAACCAAGAGCAAAGAAATTGATGGCCCAGGTGAACACAAGTGCTGCTCATACAGAGTACGTCCTGAAATGGCAAAGCCATGGAATTTAGCAATGAGGCCTGCATCTGACAAAAAAAAAAACCCTAAAGCAACGCAAAACAAAATCCTACTGCAGTCATCTAACAGTCACAGATGTTAATGAATGCCCCTGGACAATGCTGTTCTTAGATCACCCATGAATAGTAATGAATACAGATTATAATACAATCACCCCCAGGTGGGCATAAAATTATCCTCATTTCTAGTCTTTGGTTCCTGCAGTACAGTGTCAGTCTTGTTTTACCTGAATTAAATACCAAGCAGCATATTATCTGTCCAAAGCACACACACTTGTTTCTCTTGAAAACATAAAAATCCATAATCTTTTTCTTTTCTGTTCTAAAGAAAGCTGGTATTAGTTCTAACTAGCAGGCAAGTATTAGAAACAGCAAACTGAGTTCAATAAAACAACTGACATACTCACTAGCAGGTTAGAAAAATCTCATCGAAGTAGATAAAGGCAGAAACGTAAAAAAAAAATAAAAAATAATTGCTTGCATGCATTTTAAAAGAGTTTCTTAAGGTACATACCGCTCCAAAGGCTACAGAGAGCATCGTTTGCATTCGGGCATCTTCTATGGAGCTCAGCAGCCCTTTTTTACTGAGAAGAGCTCTTCCAGCCAGTGTCCAGAACCTCACATGTTTTACTCCCACAGAAACAAACTGGGTATCTGAATCTGGTCTGAATTCTGCTACAAATATACGCTGGTTATGACCAGCTCGGCTGGCAATTTTGGCACCTGGCAGAAAGAAAATGGACATTCTGAATTCACTGATGAAAAATACACATTTTTAGTTAAGAAAACACAAGTTATGGCGAATGATGAGTTGCCCAAGACCACACAGGTCAGGAAGCAAAACATAAACTGCTCCTAAATTAAAACTAAATCAAGATACAGATAAAAAAAACCTAACAACCACCATATTTAATAACTCCCTCTAGCGAAGTGTTGCACCTAATGAATTAGTAGGCCAGATCCAAGTAAGTTTCCACCTCTTCTTTAAACTCCTACGACTCCTCTGAAAATCCCAAACTCTGGACAAATTATAAGAGACTAATGAATTACTTCTCTTTAAATTTTGTCCAAGGTTAGAAAACTTTCTACTTGCTGCAGAAAATGCAGAAACTGACTTCGTTCCATATGGTCTTAGATTCAAAGTTAATGCTTTCCCAGTCCCTTCAGAGGTGTTAAAATCAGGCCTTTTGACCCATACGAAGATTCCTCAATCTGATTCCTTAGCTGCCATGATGCATTTGTATCAACTCTGAAGAATGAGTACAAGTACGTTCTGACTAAAACACCAGTGAATTGCTGCGTGGCCTTCTACCACACATCCTTCATGCTACGTAAGATTGTTTAATAGACATTTGACATTGTGTCCAGCTCCACAGGATCTAGCAGGCAAGTTGTGAAGGATCACTTTTTATTAACTTGGTAGCTGTTCTTTAAACTTCTGAGAGATACTAGCTGATCAACAGAAATAGCCAAAGAAAGAGGAAATAAACCCCGAAGATTAGAGAATCGGTTTCATCATCTGGGCATGGTTTTGCCAGACAGAAAGGAGGTGAGGAAAGAAGCTGACCAAATTGCTTTAGCCTAAATCCTGAACTCCAATCAAAGCCCATCTGAAAATATGCAGTATAGCTTAAGACACCAACTATATAGCTGCATAGAGGAGCTATACAGGCATCACATTTCTGCAACTTGCAATTTTGGGGGGATAATTTTAGAAGGACAACAAACTAATCTGTAATCAGACTTTAAAGAAGAACAAGAACAGAGAAGAATTCCAGAAGCAAACCAGATTTTATAAAGAGCTTTTGCCAAGCAGCAAAGAAATGTCTGAAATTAAGAGGATAATTTTCTTTATTCCAACTGGAGACTATCTTGGTTTTTACACAACAGTTCCAAAGGAGATATATTTAACAGTTAGTACAGTTACCTCTTCTATATTTAAGTTACAATTGTTCTTGTCTCAAGCCAACATACCTCTAACAGTACAAACACATTCTACAGAAACAACTGCTTTCTTACCTTCCTGCCACTTCCAAATGGTAATGGTGTGTTCGGGATCCAGCCCTACGGAGAGCAGCAGTTTGCCAGTGGCACTGAAACTGACTGAGCACACGCCCTTTGAATGGTAGCACCGCAGCACCGACAGAGTCTGCTTGTTCATTGCATCCCACACATGAATAGAAGGAGCTGTAGCTACACAGATATAAAAACATAGAAGTAGTATATGTTTTGAAAGTGTCTAATAAATTCTTACTGAAGCAGGTAATATTTTTTAATCAGACAAATCAAACTGTTCCGGGCAGACAGAGGGAAAAAAAGAAAACAAAAAAAAGGAGATTTTGGCCTCCCTTTGGCAACCAATTTAAGGTAAACAGGATCATTAAGTAGGACTAAGAAGTGGGCCTTTGGCCTCCTTACACTGCTGGAGATGAAAACTTTGCTTAACCTGTTACTGGACTTCTGAAGCACAGCACACACAGAGGCTCTGAAAGCAAGCCGTCTTCTTGTTTCCTCCTAAGTAAAACTTAGCTCAACATGCTAACTCAAAAACCTTCGTAAATATTGAGTAGGTCATCAAGAATGTAATTTCTACATAGGGCTTTCGGACAACTGCTAGCTACAGAGAAATTAATTGACACTGCAAGGCCAAAATCTCCTTTTCTACAAAATGGCCATCTGTCTGAATTGCTTGCTCTCTTAGGAGAGTGTCAGCTGAATAATCAGCTTGCTTACTGATGCAGAAGAACTAGGGTATTTATTTTAGTTTGCACTGTTTAGACTGCAAGCTCTTTGCAGTAAGAACCATCTTTCCATGCTATTAATATATGTGATTATATCTATTACAATGACACTTAGGGTTTTTTTCCAAATGCAATGCCCTCTCCAACGATCTTGCAATCCATGTATAGTTTGCAATCTCTAAATAGCATCTAGGGCATTTCCAGGACAGTAAGATTCTCTCTCAAACTTCTTTACTTCTGATCTCTAGTAAATCTGACTGCAGAGTCTGGAGGGCACTGGTTATTGTTGTAGACCCAGATTCATTTAAACTAAATTCTATTTCAGCTCCATGTTTTGTGCTTCTAATCAGCTAAACCTTGCCTCTCAAAGGCAGACACGTGATGGGAAACAGTAGGCACAGGGACCTAGGTAAATTTTAGCAACATGAACCAAAACAGTCTCTAGATAAACCTTCTTCTCTTTCCCACTGGAATTTCCTCTCATGGTACCAACATGCAGTTATTATCACCTTTCTAGAGGTACTACAGCATAGTACAGACATGCCATTAAAACAAAAAGGGCAGGGGTTGGCAACAACTGGCCTATCTCAAAATTTTCAGCAACCTCCTTGCTGTCCTTATGGAAAGCTGAGGGAAGAGAGAGCTTTCTTACGGCTTTGAACTGTTTTTACCTCTTCAGCACTCCCCTTGGTGAAACTGTATTGCCCTTAACCTGTGCACGTCCCCCATAACCATGGCCAAAATTTATCTTTTGGGTGGCAGACAGAAATTTTCACCTAGGTTTTATGAACAAGAACTGACAAAATCTTTCAGAACAAGATTTGCAGGATGGAGAACGTGAACTGTTGAGTCCTCCTCCTACCTGATGGTGTTCTGAAAGTCTGTCCTGACACTGTGTCCTGCTTATGTCCAGCTGCTCAACATCTGCTCTCATAAGAGAGATTTTCATCTCCTTCTGGGACAAGTCAGATAAAGCTACCATGGGCTGGCAGGACAAAAAAATATCTTCACTAAAATGAAGCAAATCTGTACAAAGTCATTATGAAACTTAATTTGTCGTTTCAGCCAATTGCAAATGTTACTGCTTCAAGAACCCCTGGATCACTGTACACAACAGAAAATTGGAAGAGGGTAAGTAAAAGCTGCTAGTGAGCAAGGTGCCAATAGCTATAAATTTTAAGTGAAACTATGCAACTTTCCAATGAAGGCAGGCAGCAGCTTGGATTCCAGACTAGTGGTTCCGTAAAGAAAAAAGGAAGAGTGCTGGTTTCAGGCAGTAACAACAGAATTTAGTAATACATACAAGGTCAAACTAAAGCTGCAGCAGGAAGAGGGCAAGCAGGAAAGGGAAAGTCTCTAGGCATTATATGCGGAACTAGAGATTTTCTTTCATGTAAACAACCATATCACCACTGCTTCTTTTATACAGTTTAAAAGTGTGGGGAAAGGTACCTACATTCTTCCTGACATCCTTAAAGCAGGTACAATATGACATATTTAAAAGAAGTCAATACACATTAAAAATGCCATTGTACATTTGTTCTTCATGGAAGAAGCTTTAGATCCACATGAAGATTAGTATACTTTCTAGGTACACATGAACACACATTTATGCATCTCTGAAGATGTGTCACAAGACAATTATGGCTGCTTAACAATGAACTCACTCACACATGATGATGATGAATTTGTTAAAATTGTAGTTAAAAAAACAACGTAGTAATAAAAAACAGCTCAGTCAAGACTGTCAAGCTGTCAAAGACCCAAAATGATAAAGAAAAAATTAAACTGACATCATAACCAGCATTTTGGATCAGTGGTAATAACTGCATGACAATCATACATAAACGTGAAAGGTGATTGTTTTTTTTTTTCACTCAGTCACCTAGGCCTCCTCAATGGAATTTACTTTAGAAATGCATATTTAAAATTATACTCAATTGAGTGTCTAAAACAAACGTTAGTTGTCGGCCCCAACATGTCTATAAAACCTGCAGGCATACATAGGAATGCAACAGCAGGAGTATGTATAGGAACTCACTGATCACTGGGCAGCAAGAAGGGAATATGTTACAACAAAAGTAGTTTTTGAGTGTGTTCTAACATTTTAATTGGTTCTATATTTACAATTTGCATCAGTAATATGACTGATACGGGTTTTAATAAACTAAAAATGAACTCATATCACTTGCTCTACAAAGCTGTTGACAGCTACTAGATAGGCTAACTACACCTAAAGATGTTAAAATTTTATTGCCCTTACCTGACATATCTGCTGAGTCTCCTGTAATGGAAAAGCAGCAGAAAAATAATTAGACCAGAAATAAGATTAGTGCTAAAGAAAATATATGCCACATTTAGTGTAATTTCTTAACACACACCTTGACGTCATCTCTTTGCATCGCAGCAGCACCAGTACTGCTTTTAGTGTTAAAGATGAACAACTACTGATAAAAGGGTCACATCAGAAATAAAAAGTCGTAGAATATATTTTGACTAAAAATATATAAAAATAAAAATCTAGTTTTGGTGTATGTTAGGTGTCTCTCTGCCAAACTAATATTTTAACATGTTTAACATAAAATGATATTTTAACAAATTAAGTGGAACACCACCCCACCCCCCCAAATGCTGATAGCTACTTCAGCTAAGAAGTAATGTTTGAATCTGATCTTGACAAGTGGCAAATACACCCAGTGCTCTTCTATAGGAGGATTAAGAAAGAAGGAATATAAAGGTTCAGGTACTGGGAAGTATTACCGAGACTGCATAGCAGCATTACAGTTTAAAAATGCTTGAAGTAATGTTTCTTTAAGTCTTTTGAAGATTTAAATCATGATGGTCAAGCTATGTTTGTGCCAGTCACATGAGCAGGAAAAGCAGCAGCAGTTAAGTATGTTCTTTACGGCATATTTACTCCTTAACATCTGTTCAGATTCTAAAAATAAGTGTTGTTTGAAGATATTTTGCTTCCAGCTCATTTTTCAGATTTAATTCTCTCCTTAAAAATATGTTTTGCAGTCTATTTTTTAAGTGTCATCTGCTCCTGGTTTGTATGCCTTAATCCATATCACAGAACAGTTAAAATTGTACTACTGCTATAGATGTAGAAATTATTATGAAATAAAAAACCATTAAGGGTCCTGTGTTTCTTCTTGGGTAAGATGAACACAGAAGAAAATTCACAAAAAGAACACATTTTCACATTATGGCTACATTCTTCCCATATATTCTATCATATGAAAAGGCAAATAGGGCCAGATTAATACCCTGAAAAAGCAAATTCCTGAAGACAATAAAAAGTCTGTAATTCTTGCAAATGTTCTTTTCAATCATAGCAAAGCACAGGCAAAAATCTGCTGATAGTTTTTTCCATTTAAATAATTTCCATTAATGATTTCTTTAAATTGATGTGAGGTAAGAAACTCACCAAGAAATAAAGCTATTTTAGCTAAGCAGTTACCACTACCAATGAGTCAATTGTAATGAGACATGCACCTAAAAATCCAAAACACAGAGGGAAGCAGGTAATAAACAAACTGACCATATTTAGATGAAACAGCTAAAACAAACCTGGGGGGAGGGGGGCGGGGAAGCGCTATTCTGGCTAAAATGAACCAAGGGTTTTTTGTATTCTATGCACTAAGGAAAACGATGTGGTTTTGAATCTGCTGAGAAACAAATGAAAATACAAAAACCGCAGTTGGGTTATAGGACTATACAAATACACTGTTCTGCAAAATTTAAAAACAGCAGTATTAGCTCAGCTATGCAGATGCACAGTGGGAATCTTTTTATTTTCTTCCTGGTTAGTTTGTAGATCAATTTTAATGTTATTATGAAACATATATATATATTTGTTGCCCCTAAAACTATGTAGGGAAACAGCAGTAGGGTTTTGATTCAGCCTAGAATATTACAATTATGTATTATCAAAACACTAAGTAGGTATTATAAATCTGTCTGATGATATAAAACCTACATAAAGTGGCATTTATTTTATTTATTGAGTTTGGTCCATATAGAAATGAAGGATAGCTCAATTAAGCTTCTTTGGAAGGGCTATGTCTCTTTGGAAGGCCTGACTCAACTGACTCAAGCTGATCGTTAAATAAAACCAGATTAATTTCATGGGGCTTAAGATTTGTAAAAAAATCTTTTTGATAACACTCCAAAACAAAAGATAAGCTTAATCTTCTTTCACACCTTAATGTTTTTTGTTCAGCTTTATTAAATTACACTCGAAGAAACATATAAAGAGGACAGGTAACTGAGTAACACTCATACAAACGGAGATAGCATAATCAAATATTTCTGTGATTTATCATGAACTCACAAGGCCCTAATTTCATGCTCTTATGTTAATTTCTTTTTACAAAAATACAAACATACCTACTTGGCCAGTTGCCACTATGTTGGTAAACTTGGGGTGCTGATTTACAGTGAGGCACAAAATATCATCATTGTGTTCCTGGTAAAAAGACTGAGAGCCTAAAAATTGAAAAAGTAAAAAAGTCTAACTTTAATTATAACATTTATATACATATAGACATGGTTAATGCTTGAAAAAGTTATCCAAAAGGAATTTTGGAAAACTAATACCAAAATAATCAAATCTTTACTTCCTTCAAAATTCAGTCACCAGAAACATTTCAATATATTTACTTTGCTTATGCAGCCATTATGAATAATCTCCACAGGCTAAATTTGCAGCAACAAATACTAGTTTTCCCACATACTTTTATAAGACTTAAGGCATACCAGCAATGTAACTCGAAGCCTGTGAGGAAATACTTTTCCTCAAGTAGCTTTTCTCCTACCTGTCGCCACATTATACAAGATCCCAATGGATGCAGTATGGTATATTACATCAGCACCATCATTCAAGTAGTGCACATTGTTTCTGCAGTCCTTGCCTCGGTACCCAAATACCAGCTCCAAAATTAGGTCCTAAAAAAATATATTTACATCTATTAGATACTCAAAACCTTAAAGCAATTATCAACTTTACTATCTTTTCCAGGGTTTTATTTTTCAAATACATCCTTGTGCAGTAAGCCCAATAGAAACTGAGATCCTGCCTTCCCTATCAGCTTACACTGCTGCTCATTCTTGTCAGACAGTCATGTCGTCCTGTCATCCCTATTTGGCGGATGCTGTAGAATACTTATATGTGTATACACACACACATATATACATACTAAAAGATATTAATAGTCATACATGTAAATAAATATCGTGAGCGAAGAACACAGTTTTTTGGATGCAAAAGATACTAAGAAACAAAGAATGACAAACACTGGTCCACAATTTAATTCCAGCTGGCCATTAAGCAAGCTGAATTGCAGCCTAAAACTTCTAGAACACTGATGGCAAAAGACTGTTTAGTATGCTACACCAAACGTTTTGTTTCATAGCATAGACAATATTTCAGTTGACATGAAGAACTGCATTTTTCAAGGACAGATGAAACTTCCACTTCAGACTAATCAAAACAGAGTATATTCATTTGCATCGGCCATATAATGAAAAACCACCAAATGCCCAAACTAAGGACATCATTAATAGACTTTTTAAAAATACTTTATTTTTTAAGCTGTTAACAATGATAATCTTCAGATAAAGTTTTAAAGTAAATTTTTTAAAAGCTGCAGTAAGAGATGCTTAGTTTTATAAGCGATAATACACCCATTAACAATTCAGTTATCTAAACAGGGCATAATTGCTTTCTACACACTGCATTTAAAAGGTTTTATTGTCACTAAGGATTAAGTTGTGCTCCATTTCATTTTCAAGAAAAAGTAGTATCAGGCTTTTTGGACTAAAAAAAAAAAAAAAATATCTATTTTTTGGCAATTTTCTCACTATTCAGTGTTTCCTTTGATACATGTAAAATGAATCAAACATTTAGGGTGTCCAAAAATGTGTCAATTTTTTTCTGGGGGTGGGGTGGGAGACAAGAATAATAATCCTAGAAGGAGAAGAAAAAGAGATAGATGTTTTTCTTACCTCTATAGGTCTCTTTTTTTTCCCAACATTATTTGTCTGAAGTTTCTCTGGCTGTGGCAATGCCCTACTAACTGGTGGTCTGAAATAAAGAACTGTGAATAAGAGAAGGCTGTCCGTCACCCATTCCATACTAACACAGTACCTTCCAACCTGCTATTTGCATGTGGAAAACTTATAGCTCTATCCTGCTTAACTGATATTTTCATTCGTCTTTAAAAGAAATACCTCTGTCAAAGCAGAAAACAAAAATTAAAGAAAGAAGATCTTTATTTAACATGCTAGGTTTTCTGTCAATTCTTCAACAACCCACGAGGTTAATGCAAAAGCTTGCTTTACAGTGGTTGACCACTAATATAATATTCTTCGCTTTTATATGCTATGTTCTTAAGGTATTTCCAGCTTTGTAGCAATTTTTATTGGATAAACTTTAAAGGCTTACCTGATTAATCTAAATACTTTGATATTCATTCCTATTGCCACATGCCCTCAGAAGGCCCTAACATTCCTATTTTTGTAATAGTTTGTAAAGAACTCAAGGGACACCTGGCCCATTCACTCTTACATCAACAGAAAAAAGTTACCGATCAACACTCAGTTAGAAGTAAACTATTACCATGCAAACTCATGAGTATCAGCCATAACTTCTGTTCCACTGTTCTGAATAGCCCAGATTGAAGAAATCTCAAATAGGTAAATTTGATAAAAATCTGTAACATATCTTTCAGATTATGTTCAATGGTTCACATACAAAGAAACACACAAACAAGTTTTATCTAAGCTGTGCAATTATTTCAAGCGATTTGCAGAAGCATTAGTTATTGATTCTATATATACAGCACATGTGGCTATGAAAAGAAACCTCTAAGTTTGACCCATAAGAGAAACAATTAATTTAAAAATAAATTCTACGTACGGATTCAATGAAATCCAGTTGATTTAATCCAGTAGGCAGCGTGACAAACTAGTATCACAACTACAGCAACAGGTCAGCTCCCTTTCATATTCCCCTTTTACTATGAGATACTTCTAATTCTACCTCTGCTCTTGAATGATGGCTTTGATGCAAAATAATCACCATGTCTTTTCTAAGAACAACATACTGTGATTTGTTGTATATTTTGAAATACATCTGAAAAGTATGTAGTTCAAATACATACATATATTTGAATAATATTAAATTATTCAAATAAAATACCATTTTCTAAGCTTTATTCATCTATTTTCCCTGACTAATTTTAGTACTATTTATAGACTGATGTCATATCACCAATCAAAAGATTTGGACATATTACAATGCAAACTTTACAGTAACTAACTACAGACTGTGTTCTGAGATACTTCAGTACTTCCTCTATGCTTAGATGCCTATGGAGTGCCTATGGAAAAAAAAAGTAATTTACAAAAGAAAAACACACAGATGAAAAATTTCTGTCTGGTAAATCAGCCTGTCAGATGCCTGGATCATGCAAACATGATCAAGTTTATTAAAACTTAATATGGGCTGTATTAAAAAAATTCTTATCAAAGTATAAAATAATAATGTAAAGTTAAAAAGAAAATTAAAGGCATGAAGGACAATAACTAAGGGTCATATTTCATATTCATTCATAAATAAGTGCAAATGAAAACAGAGGACACTAACTGAAGCATGGAGAAAGACTTTTATAACGTCACAAAGAATGGTAATCTAACATTTATTTTAAGAAATAAAGCTTTGTTTGTGCTTTGGAGTTGTTTGTTGGGTTTTTTTGCATATGAATGTAAGTACTGCTTAAAACTGAACAAATTCTAGTGCTTATAGTGTCGGAAGTTAAATGGTAAAACAATAACCAGTTCTTTCCCTGCGCAATCAAATGTCTTTGAAGAATGAACAGGGTTAACAAGTGAACAGATATGCACATACATACCCCATTAATTTATGACTAAGAATTATAGTTATAGAAATACATACAATAGCCAGTTTGTGTAATAGGTTAATGATATTAAGAGCTGCTAATGAATATTTTTCCTATCAACAGGTTATTACTTTGAATTATAATTAAAATTCCTTAATTCCTTTGATACCTCCATAATTGCTACTCATTTATAAGGTAACTCGGAGCACACAAACAAAAGAAGTTCCTTAAAAAACACTGATTCTAAAGTGGTTCCTTAAAAACTGCTTACATAACACTGATTTAAAATCTTTTTTTAAACTAAGGAAACACAACATGTACCTTTCTCTTCTTAAATATGGAAATCAGGAACAATGCTGATGTGATGAAAAGACCGTACCAGTGTTTCTGTTAGTTTTCCCAAGAACTGGGTGGGGGAGAGAGGAGGGAAGAGAAACCTATAATAAGGAGTTTTCCACTGTCATATTACCTCTTCTCTCATCCCATGGAGCAGCTATAAAAATCAAACAGCAAATACAGTAGTATTGCAAAAATGTGGGACTAGCATGCTGGTTGTTGTGCATGCTGCTTTTACTGGCATGTTATACAACTCAAAAAAGCTTTGGAGAAAAAGAAATCCAGCTGTCAATGACATACTAAGGACTAAAAAGAAAATCAGAATGCCACTTCACTCAGCTGTGGAGCCTCAACAGCCAGGATATGATTGCCAGCCTACACGAACACCAGCGTACAAATATCCAAACCTTCTTGAAGGAAAGTAGAAAAAGACATTCTTTTACAGTTCCAGAGAGCCTTCCTAGATGAGAAAGAGAAGCATAATTTCTGATGCTTTTCAGACAGTAAGGAAATCTCTAAATGTAGCTTCCTTTAGATTAAATTGCAGCCTGCACATGGAACAAGAATGTCAGATTCTAGATTTAGTATTCTTGCACAAATTTCTCAATCATTTTGAACGGCAGACTAAGAAGTGTATCAATAACTAATGCCACTCAAAACCCCAAACAACCAGAACCAAAAACCACTACGAGAAGTAGCTCAAGAGCAAATGAAGATTTTGGATCAAAGATAGGAGACTACAACCCCCACCTCTCCCCGATTTGAAGCAAGAAGACCAAACTCTAGGGAACTGAGTCCAGTTCTCTTAGGACAATTCCTAACAATCTATCCATAAAAATATTTTTATGCCTATTTTTATTCTAAGAAGAAAACAGGCATTCCCAGAAATGCTACTGTTTAAGAGGAACAGTGCACGTTTAATCGGTTGTCAGAGGCTACTGCTGTTTAACTGCTGTTGCAAAGATACATCCAAATCAGAGACTGTATCAGTCAGGGGAGATTTAAAGATATAAAAAGGATAAATCTAAACCAGCAGAGGAAATAAGTACCTCAAATAATTACACATTTGAGGTAAAGAAAATGTGAAGTAGGTTTAACAACTTTTTCCCTAGGGAAAGAAGAATAACCAAACAAACCAATCCATACTGCTAAACCCAAGCTTAACAGAAGCAGGAAGCTTGACAACCATAGGTTATCCAGGCAGATCTACCAGAGTAGAACTGAGAGACAATTCTGGTGCTAAGCAGGCCAGTGGCATACAAGGGCTGTAGGCTCCATCACTGGAGGTCAGTCCTGCTTTATGGATGGGCATAGGAGAAAGACTGAGCAAAACTGCACAATCCACTTTCTGATCACTCCAGAATACTTCCAAATATTTTATATTTTTAATTTCTGATTTGTCATAGGCAATCCTGCAGTCTTACTACTGTTGCTCTGGAAATTGATAAAACACAGCATAAAGAGCGCTTCTTCCACTTGTCACCCTTGCATTTGACACAGACTACTCAAGCCTCATTTCTTCCTCCCTTTCTCCCCCCATTTAATTTATAGAAAAGAAGGCAGAAAAAAGAAATAGAGCAGGAGAGCATATCTAATGTTTCATGAAAGCAGTAAAAACTGAAAGGCACAGGTTTATGTTACTGGAACTGAGCTGACTGGAAGTAAAGATTTCTCTTCTGCTTGGATGTAGAATGTGGCTTTTTTATAACATTTTATGTCTGCTAATCCCTTATGATAGAATGGGAGAAAAGGTGAAACTATCTCACATTATACAACCACCTGAATGGACCATCTATACTTAAAAAGACTATACAGATAAACAGATACAAATATAGGTTGATATCCATCCTTAGCCAATCATTAGAGTACATTTACATCTGTACATTACCATACAAAAGAATCAAGTGAATGTACAATGGTCAATAAAACTTGACTTGACAATTAAGACTCAGCCATATTATCTCACAGGTCACCTACACAATTGATACAAGTACCCACCTAAGAAGACTTGAGTCTGTATTAATTCAGAGCAGTGGAACTAGAATACAAATTACAAGCTTTTTTTAAAGGTGTGAAAGCTGAAGGTATTTTTCATTTGCTATTTAATGTTCAGACAAGTGACTAATGGCAAATACAACACGGTCATGTACCTGCATGTATAACTGGCTGCATGCTCAAAAACTGCATGCAAAAAGATGGGAAGGAGAGCATGAATAACATTTTGGGGTGAATGCACATATGGATGGGGTCAGTTTGAACATGCACAAGGAGAGTTCCAGCCATCTATCATAGGGAAAATAAATACCTTAATATCAGCACTTCCAACATGAAAATAGACTTAGTGTATATATATTATTTCTTGTTATAAGACTGTAAAAATGGAATACAAGCACTTTGAAGTAGTTTGTGAAACAAAGAAAACCCCTTTTCATGGTTTTAGGCATTATTTCAATATTATTGACACTGCTACCCACATTGTCTTGTATGATGCTGTTGTACTTCACTACCTATTTAGTATTGATACTAAGTTTCTGAAATTATTAACAGAACAAGGGATGGTCTTCTGTAGTTAACATGTACTGCCATCAATTCTTCAAATTCGTGGTAACTTATGACAATGTAAATCACAACATTTATTTCTCTTTTAAAAAATCTAAGTGTTACTTTAAACATGATTTCGCAGAGGAAATTACAGCTGTTGGTACAAAAGAAGACCTTCCTGTGAGGGACACCATAGCTGCACTTCATACTTTGGGGTACTTGGAATTGATTTTGCACTAGCCTTCAGCATAAAGTGACTTTCACTGCCCAAAGATGTTAGTAAGCAAGAACTAATTTTAAACGTAAGGAGGTCTTTCCATTTACTCTTGGCAAGATTTTCAGATTTACTTGTGAAATTTTGGAGGTCTGATTTCCATCAGAAGATAATGAAACCTGTCACTTTTTAAACACTGCTTCTTGACAGTGATTATTCATAATTATTTTCATGTGTCCTATGAATAGAGTGAAAGGTGCATGGTATGGCACCCAACATGACAGATGGCTTTTTAAGGAAAATGAGAGATGACAGTAAAATACAGAATAGACAGCAAAATAAAAGCATTACCTGGAACCTCTTTTCAGCAGCAGGCAGGAAAGAGAAAAGGATTACTTATACAAGTTTGGCTGAAAGCTAGGTGTCCGTGAATTATTAACAATTGTATTTGCTTCCTAGTTTGTTTATTTCTTTTTACAAGGGGATTTTTCACAACTTCAAAGGTTATGTAAATCTATTACTCCTATGGAAAACTCCCATTCACTTAAATGGGAATTATGAACAAGTGTTGGCATGAAAATATAATTCTTAGGAATTATTCCTACTGTAAAAACAGAGAAAACAAGCAGAAGCAGACCCAGAAAGCTGTGAAGTATATCAAGTGTTTCAAGAGTTAGCAAACACAACACCTGAATTACTCAAAGAAAGGTTGTGCAGGTTTAACTTCCTGGAATAAGTCGATATATCGAACAGTCAATTCACTATTAAAGACAGATGTTCAAGCTCACTCATAAAAATACATTCAGTTATACTAAAATACAGTCAAAATGTGGGGGGTACTGAGCACTGCCAATATGGTAAGTGGTAGGGCGACAGAGGAAATCATTATTATTTAGTTCTGTTTATGTTGACTGAAGATATTTTGCCATCTGTTTCACAAAATTTGTTGCACTGGATGGGTTTTCTCAGTCACATATGTTGCATGCTCCTATACTTTAACAAGCCAAAAAGTAACTTTTTAACTATCAGAGTATATGGACATGTACAGATAATTTCTTAATATTTGTAATATGCATAGGCACTTTTCATTAGTCTGATTCAAGCACATGAAAAATGAGATGATTGACGACAGCCAGCATGGCTTCACTAAAGGCAAATCCTGCCTGACCAATGTGGTAGCCTTCTAGGGTGGGGCTACAGAACCGATGGACAGCGGCAGAGCAGTTGACAGCGTCTACTGGACTTGTGCAAAGCATTTGACACTGTCCCACATGACATCCTTGTCTCTAAACTGGAGGGACATAAATTTGATGGATGGACCATTCAGTGGATAAGGAATTGGCTAGATGGCCACATGCAAAGAGTTGTAGTCAATGGCTCAAAGTCCAACTGGATACCAGTAACGAGTGGTATCCCTCAGGGGTCAGTGTTGGGACCTCTCTTGTTCAATATCTTTGTCGGTGACATGGACAGTGGAATTGAGTGTGCCCTCAGCAAGTTTGCCGACAACACCAAGCCGTGTGGCTCGGTTGATACGCTGGAGGGAAGGGATGCCATCCAGAGGGACCTTGACACGCTTGTGAGGTGGGCCGATGCCAGCCTTATGAAGTTTGACAACGTGAAGTGCAAGGTTCTACACCTCGTTCAGGGCAATTCCATGCACAGCTAGAGGTTGGGACCTATATAGCCTTCCATTATCTGAAAGGGGCCTACAAGGGTACTGCAGAGAAACTCTTCATCAGGAACTACAGCAATTGGACAAGGGGTAATGGATTTATACTTAAACAGGGAAGTTCAGTTTAGATATAAGGAAGAAATTCTTTACTGTGATGGTGGTGAGGCACTGGAATAGGTTAACTTCAGTGCTAGCCATAAAAATGACTTAGACACAGAAATGTCCACTGCTCCTAGGGAAACTGCTGCTGTGAAGGGGAAAACAATTGTTTTGTTTGGTTCTTTTTTTTTTAACTTCTGCTATTGCAAGGAAAAAGAAAGTACAAGCCAAACCAGAAAACAGAGAACAGGACCCTACCTCTGTTAGACTGGTAGTATGCACGTTCTGGAAATTGCATTTACATTTTGAATTAAAGGGACACTGGCAGGAAATTATTATGCTACACTGAAAGCAGAATCCCATGTTCCATACTTTACAGACAAGTTACCTGCTCACCAGACGGCAGTGTTTTGCAGCCTTTTTTGCTGATTTTCCCTTCCTTATCCCAGGGATTCTTTCATTCCTTTCTGCAGAGCTTTAGCAAAAAGGAGCAACACTGTTTTGACCCGGTTGATGATGTGAAGTTTTGACAGACTAAACGGCCTAGACCTCTGATTTCCTATGTCGCCCTACCACTTACAACATAAAAGGTGAGATCAACTTAACCTTTCTGATAATATTAGAATCAAAATCATTTTAGTGCATCATTTTTTGTTACCCAGTTGAGTATTTCTGACTCTAAATCCAGGCCATGGTGTTGGACTACTCCTGGCCTCACATATGTGCTTTTGTGAGACAGGACTAAGAAACAGATGATATTTCAGGTATGCTACTTCCTTTAGTGTTCTATTGTTTCTCTTATTTAATAATCTGGATACTAAAAATCATGTTTCCTCTGTGCAGAGGGCATGTTACTACTCAGTCTTAAGTAGTAACTACATTTTGGGTATGGTCTTCATTTCCATCTTCTATCATAGAAAATGCACACAATAGTAAAAGAGCTTCAGGTACATTCCAATAAGGAAACCCCTTTATACACAAAGTCAAAATAACTTGAAAGACATTCTCAAAAGCACATTCTATACTAGTATGTACTTGTGATCCTGAGAATACAAAGATTTTAATAAAGTGTTACTATATGAAACATATCTCTTCTAATGTTTGGCTGTCAGTATAACAAGCCTAAGCATAACACATACTTGGAGGAGGGGAGACACTGCTTCTGTGAGAAACTGCTGGAAGTTCCCTCTGTGACCAATACAGCCAATGCCAGCCAGTTCCAAGAGGGACCCGCTGCTGGCCAAGGCCAAGCCCATCAGTGACAGTAGTAGCACCCTCTGGGATAATGTATTTACGAAGGAGAAAAAAACCTCTGGGCAATGGCAGCCAGAGAAAGGAGTGAGAATATGTGAGAGAAACACCCTGAAGACACCCAGGTGAGTGCAGAAGGAGGGGAGGAGGTGCTCCAGGCGCTGGAGCAGAGATTCCCCTGCAGTCTGTGGTGCAGACCATGGTGAGGCAGACTGTGCCTCTCCAGTCCATGGAGGTCCACAGCAGAACAGTCATCCACCTGCAGCCTGGGGAGGACTCCACATGGGACCAGAAGTCAAAATAACTTGAAAGACATTCTCAAAAGCACATTCTATACTAGTATGTACTTGTGATCCTGAGAATACAAAGATTTTAATAAAGTGTTACTATATGAAACATATCTCTTCTAATGTTTGGCTGTCAGTATAACAAGCCTAAGCATAACACATACTTGGAGGAGGGGAGACACTGCTTCTGTGAGAAACTGCTGGAAGTTCCCTCTGTGACCAATACAGCCAATGCCAGCCAGTTCCAAGAGGGACCCGCTGCTGGCCAAGGCCAAGCCCATCAGTGACAGTAGTAGCACCCTCTGGGATAATGTATTTACGAAGGAGAAAAAAACCTCTGGGCAATGGCAGCCAGAGAAAGGAGTGAGAATATGTGAGAGAAACACCCTGAAGACACCCAGGTGAGTGCAGAAGGAGGGGAGGAGGTGCTCCAGGCGCTGGAGCAGAGATTCCCCTGCAGTCTGTGGTGCAGACCATGGTGAGGCAGACTGTGCCTCTCCAGTCCATGGAGGTCCACAGCAGAACAGTCATCCACCTGCAGCCTGGGGAGGACTCCACATGGGACCAGGGGGATGCACCCAAAGGAGGCTGTGACCCCATGGGATGCCCACACTGGAGCAGGCTCTTGGTAGGATGTGTGGCCCCATGTAAGAGATCCACGCTGGAGCAATTCATGAAGAACTGCAGCCTACGGGAAGGACTCATGTAAAAATTTGTGAAGAACCATCTATCATGGGAGGGCCCCCAAGCTGGAGCAGGGGAAGAATGTGAGAAGTCTTCCCCTTTAGTAGGAAGGAGTGGCAGAAGCAAAGAAACCTCGCTCCCCAGCCCCCTGTACCACTGGGTGGGGAGCAGGTTGAGAAATTGTGAGTAAAGTTAGGCCCAGGAAGAAGGGAGGGGTGGGGGGATGGTGTTTTAAGATTTAGTTTTTATTTCTTATCCTACGTGGATGTGATTGACAAATTATTTTTTCCCCCAAGTCAAGCCTCTTTTGCCTGTGACAGTGAGTGATCTTCCTGTCCTTATCTTGACCCATAAGCCTTCTGTTAATATTTTCTCTCCCATGTCCTGCTGATGAGGGGAGTGACAGAGAGGCTTTAGTGAGCAACTGGTATCCAGCCAAGGTCAACTCACCACAGCAGTATACCCAAATACCCTGTGAATGAACCAACGCCGAAGGTCGTATAACTTGCAAAGAAACTGACTTTACAGATACACATTTTTTAAAAAGCCTAAAACCAGAATTAATTTGATATGGTAGTATGATCTAGAATTTAGATCAAGACTGTGGCTTTCTTGATTATGTAAAGTTGTCTGCAGAAGGATACACAGAGAGTAACACAATTCTATCATCTGTCACCACAGGGATGCAATTTCATTGTGGAAACAGGGTCCACATAGATATGAGGGAGTTCTCCTTTATTAGCCTGTGTAGATCCAAGTGTCCTGGCAGCTTAGTCTACAAGTCTGAAGGGTGGCATACAGCCTACAGATTTGTTGTGCTACAAACGTAAAAGCATGGTTTTGAGTATGCACATATTTTAAATAGAATATATGCAAAAACTTCTTACCTACTGCAGGCACCCAAGCTAGTAACTCTGCATGTTATATGAATGACACGTGAACCTAGCAGGTCAGATCCTTTAGTACAGCTGCGTTGGTAAAATGCTGCAGCCCAGTCAGTAACACTCCTCTTGTCCCTGAAGCTTTATTAGCTCCCACACAGTGGTGCAGACATGGTGATACTGCACATACAGTCACTCTAGGCACCTCTGCAGTGTGCTCTCTGCACATTATATTCCATATTGGACCTTTACACCAACACTGTGATACAGTCTTTCTGAAGTCCACAAGAAGTTAAGTGAGAACTCTGACTGTATAGCTACTTAAGTGAAGCTGTTCCTTAGCCACTACAAAGTACTGAGGAAAAGAGGACAAGATTTGATAACTTCCTCCCAAATACTCTATTTAGCAGCCTCTCATGGCCACTCAGACTGAGAACTGGGCTTATTCTTTGTCTCTTATCCCTTTTCCACTTGTTAGCAAGTTACTATTTAATAGCAAAGAGTTAAAGTCTTCACTTCTATTTCAAAGTATCACTACTTTCCCAAGCAGCTTAAGTTACTAAAATGTGTTTGATCCTGGATTTTGTGTAAATGAACTTACCTGACTACCCCCTGCCTTCATAGGAAGCAAAAGGAAAGGAAAATAAAAATAAAATAAAAATTAGTATCTATGAAAGCAGACTTTCTAAAACTTTTGCCAATCTTACACAATATTAACATCAGAAGAACAGAAGTTAAAATGCATGCAGCAACCATATTCTGGTTTCATTTTTCACAAAAACTTTTCTTTCAAGTTTTAGGGCCCAATACAATGCAGTCAGTGGAATTCTTTCATGAACTTTTATGCGTTCTGAATCAGAACCTAGTTACAACAGAATTAATTTTCCTTAACATCTGATTTGAAAACACAACTCACTCATCTTCCAGAAACAATTATTGACAGAAATACAAGAGGTTTATAATTTCACTTAAAAATAAAAACAAACAAACAAACAAAAAAAATCACAAATCACACTTTTCATTAACAAGAGTAAATATAAACTCAAAATGTTGATAACATGCACAGTATTTATTTTCAATTTCCACATCAAATAAATTATTTAATAAACAGAAAGACCATTTCTCATTTTAAATGCAAGACAGGGAGCCACAGCTTCACACACAGGCATCCATTCTCTCCTTCAGCAACAAAACTTAAAAACAAAAGATGAGACCAAAACATTTATAAAAGTCTGTTAACTTCACTGTGGAAAGAGGCATGTGCATTGTAACAGAACTCCTCAAATTCCTGCAGGAAGTTTCCAGTCCACTATTTCTCTATACCCTTGCACCTAACTATACTGTGTCATGTTTTTCTCACTTCCCTCTTTTTAATATTAGTGTTCCTCAATTGCCACTGTATCATGTTAGGAATCTCTCCTTCCTTTTCCCTCACTTACACTATCCACATCTATCTTGCTGACAAGTTTCAGGGTGCTGTGCTCGGTCGCATATTCTACAATTGATTATGTTCTAGTGGTTATAAATAATTTCTCTTTCACTACTTTACCCGTTGGTTTTATTCTACTAACCTCCCCACCACCTTCTCTTCTAAAGCATACAACAGCAAACCAAGCAATGCAACTAACACTGCAAAGCAGTCAGCTTCATTTTCCAAGATTCATTAATAGTAACTGCAGAACCACCATGGACAGAATTTTTCAAAGAAAGGCAGAAATTACCTGGAGACAGAAACAATGCAAGGAGCAGTTGAAGCTAAATGAGTCAGATTAGTTTGTTACCAAAATAAAAAATCAAGAGCTGTGTTTCAATAAAACAGTTGTACAAGTTCATGCCTCCAATGCCATCCCTAGATATCACTTGGTATTAAGTTTCAAAAAGAACATATTATCAAACATCAGCAAATAATTCAATTATCGCAAGAAACTCCCCAAACATAATAATATCCATACATCATTTGTAGTCTTTGGTGCTCTCTGAAAAAGACACATCCTAGTCCTTTGGCAAGGTTTTCTCAAGTTTGGTGGAGCTTTTTTCCATCAAAGACAGATTTCAACTCTTTTTATACATAACCCTTTCAGTTGTATATATATATTCCAACATAGTTATATTTTACTATTAATCATCTGCTTTCTTGGCTGGAATTGTAATTTAGCAATTACCTTTCATCTAAGGTTGGCTCCTTTTGTTGCAGGTGAGGCTTAATTCCAAACATTGGTCTAATGTTTGTTGATAAGGCTTTGATGGTGTAATTAATTTCATTTTCCCTTGTCACATCACTGTCATAACCTAACAAAATCAGAGTTAAAAGTATCAAAACAAGAAACCAAGGGGAAAAAAAAATTAATCATAATTCCTGCAGGTTTCAACAACGTACTGAAATACAAGAACAATTATACCATGTATTACTAGTAACATAAAACACAACAGAAAGAAAGCAGCTGGGAACCATGAACATTGCTAATAAAATACATTCTATGAAAAAAATTCTTTACAATATCTTTGTGGAAAAAATTATTAACAAAGATTAAAGGGATATTCAAAGATACCCAATTTCCGCTTGGCTGGCCTTAACTCACGGTCACTAACAAAGGACCTCACTACATGACACCTACTGTTAAGTTCTGGAGGACTTAACACTACATCATTCTCAATTTTAGGATGCATCTGTTAGGATGGAATCTATAGGTCTGCACAGGTTTCCTACACAATGGTTAGGGAGGGACAGTCAGGTACATGAAGATGATGTTTACTAAACATGGCAAAAAAGCTAACTAGTGAAATAGTAACAGGGTTGTGACCTTCCTTTTGGCATGTGTTGTTCCCCTCCCCCCCAATTTGATATTACTAATGCCAATTTAAGAATAATTCTTAACTCTAACTGCAATTGCTAGGACCTGATGAAGAGAAATTTTTGTAGAAAAATATGTTGATGTCTTTTCTTGTAAAGCTTAACAGACTTCTCTTTCTTTTAGAGTATTTTTAAATACACAGCTTAAGAGGGTTCTGTGCAAAGCACCAGAGCCGAGGAAAGGTTACTGGGCACAGATGTGCTAACAGGTCATAGGCAGAAGCTGGACAAAAACTCTGAAGATTGCAATTTTTGTTTCAGAAAGCTAAAGTTGACCAAGTCCCCACTCTGTGCAATTAAATTACTTCGCAGATGTATTCTTCAGGATTTTTAAGCAGAAAGGCAGTGCATAAAATTTTTCTCCAATGAAAGTTTAATATGCCTCTAATATTTAAAGTGTCTCTTAGGTCACCTACCAGCTTTTAGTGAAAACTGAAGTTAATTTATTATACAGAACTATATAACGAGTAGCAGTGACAGTTGAATAATGCTTGAAGACTGAGGAATGACAAGGAGGTAAAACTGCTCTTGGAAGCAGAAAGAACAAATTTGGAAGTTCATCAACCCTTGGAATTATAACATGAAAAAGAAAACATTAAATATGGCAAAACCAACAAAAGTTAATTCTACAAAATGTAACTAACACTTTATAACTATGGATATTATGATCTTGGACTAAATTGTTCCATGCTCTGGAAACAGATGCTATAATATCAAGATAACTATAATCTTGCATTATACAGATTTCAACATAATTCCATTAGACCTAGCACCCAAATATAAACTGCAATTCTATACAGATTTTTTTTAAGTTACCTATAATTGGCACTTAATGTTTTTCCTTTTAAAAGATGTCAAAAGTCTTTTTACATACTCTGACACAAAGCAGCAAGTCACTTTATTATCATTTTCTTCACAAGTTTATCAGTCCTTTGCCCCAAAGGAAATCATAGCAGCCTATCTGAAGGGGGCCTACAAGGATGCTGGGGAGGGACTCTTCATTAGGGACTGTAGTGGTAGGACAAGGGGTAATGGCTTTAAACTTAAACAGGGGAAGTTTAGGTTAGACATAAGGAAGAAGTTCTTCACAGTGAGGGTGGTGAGGCACTGGAATAGGTTGCCCAAGGGAGTTGTGAATGCTCCAACCCTGGAGGTGTTCAAGGCCAGGCTGGACAGACCCTTGGACGACATAGTTTAGTGTGTGGTATCCCTACTCACGGCAGGGGAGTTGGAACTAGATGATCTTAAGGTCCTTTCCAACCCTAACTATTCTATGATTCTATGACTCTTCTACATATAAAACTAGATTTTTTCTTAATTAGCAGTTTTCCATTAATGAAGTCTTCCTGAGATAGCACAATCCAGCTAGCTTTATAAATGACTACTGACCTCCATCTTCTTCAGAATCTAGATCAGATTCTTCACTGTCACACTGCCTGCTATCCCGATGTCCTTCTATCTCATAAGTCCACAGCATTAAAGAGGTGTCTGCTCCTCCAACAGTGACCAACAAACTGTCATCATAGGTCCAACGGACATTCGTTACATGGGTACTGTGAGCAACATACCTCTTAAATTTTCCAAACTTTCCCTAAGAAGGGAGAAGAAAAGGCAGAGAACAAATTTAACCAGTCTACTTGATAAAACAGAAACTAGTTGCCTACTTGATAAAACAGAAACGTGCACAGCAACGTTCTTCATTTCTTTACAGTTAATGCATCAGCTGCTTTGCATTTGTATGTATGAGATGATTTGCCAAGTTCATCTCCTATAGCAATCTCATGAAATGATAACCGTATTTCCATACCAAGCATGCAAGAATTTGTTTGTAAACAAATTCCAGCAATAAATACTGCATCACTTTTCCTAAGAAAGAAAAGAATCTAACAGATTAAGAATAAAATGTCCATAGAATATTTTTAGTCAATACTTGTGCATTGTTACCATCCCTGGCATGGCAAAATATTCAAAATTGAAGACATTTACTGATAAATACACAGGAAAACTAGAAAGGTCCAAGAAAAGCAGTAAAAATATAATGTGCTTCTGGAAAGGATTTTCTATGATGCATATTAAATAATATTAAAGCTCTTCATCTTAGAGAAAACTGGCTGAGGTTGGACAGAATGAAAGGCTATAAAATCATGAGAGAAACACAGGTGAGGGAAAAAAAAAGTGTTCATTGTGTTCAAAACAAGGGCCTAAGGGGCTAAAAAAGGTGCTGATAAAAACACACTGAGAACACTAATGCCTAAAGTATTATTAGACAGTGCCTGTCCCATTCTTACAAGTTTTCCTATACATTTATCACTGCCAATGATAGGACGCTACATGAAATGGCTCTTTAGTCTGACGTGGAATGGCTGTTCTTATTAACTGAAAGTTAATGCAGTGCAAATTGCAGAGTAATACTGAATGCCACCTTTGATCATGAGGACAAAAACATAAAGCATTATTTTGTTCTGAGTGATGAATTTTTATAGTTTTGAAAAGGCAGTTTTATGAATCAAACTTTTGCATGAGCAGCTGAAAATCACTTACTTTAGCAGGGTATCGGAAAAGTTTCACAAATCCAAAATCATCTCCTGTGGCTAATACTTTACTATCGCTAGTGAGGCATGAAGCAGTTACATCTGTGACTTCACCAATTATGGGCCAGATTCCTTCACAGCAAGAGCCCAGAACACTTGTCCATGATGCCCAGCCAATCTTTTCTACCTATAGAAAGAACCCATTTAAGACAGAGCATGCTTCTTCCCAGGCAGTTTTCTTTCATATCCAAGTCCTTGCACTGAAAGATACATCACATCTAACAGATAGTATTTTAACATATCAACCATTTATTTACTGATTATTCAGGATTTCATTGGAGAGTCTTAATTTTACCTCTATTGTATTCCAGTTCCAAAACCTCTAGAAGTATTAAAAAAATTTTATCTTACCTGCCCTTTAAGCTAGAGAAAGAAAAAGATTACATTTTTCAACCCTGACTTTCAATCTCATAGAAAAAATTACTGGAAAGTTATCCATTTTCACTCTCTGCCCTACGACAATGCTCTATGTCTAAAAAACCAAATTAATATTATTGCCACAATATACTACCCTTGCCTATATATATTATGCATACTGTATTGCATTGTATGTAAAGATAGACACGAGGTCTTCCAGACCAAGGTTTGGGCTAACTCATTTGCAATAGATTTTCAAAAGTGTTTAAGTACCAAGAAGTTCAGGGAGATTTTCGTGAGAGTTTAAGTCAACCAAACGTCCATTTCTTCACAGAAGAAACAAACATGATATCACCCATCTATTTCACCATTCTGATTACATTATCTAACTG